TCAAATAAACGAGTGAAACATTTGTGCGCGCTACGAATTTAAATAGGACTTCGCCATTGTGATCGAAGAAATCATTTAAACGGCTAATATAATCTCTGTTCTGTGGTGTATGTCGAGCAAGACACAAAAATTGTCATAATGTGTACATTAAGATAAGAGAAAAATAAATAAACTTTCAGTTCTACACGTAGTGCCACAAAGGATTATTAAAAGTTGAGGGAGTCATCGAGCAACTGTTTGAGTTCTTTGAGGTGTTGCATTTTACTTCCAGTGGCCGGTGACGATGCAGTGGGACGTCCAGCGTACCTAAAACACCAATACAGATTTTGCTCAAAATATGAACATTACTTTTAAAATGTGATACAATTACAATATACACCGATAATATTACTCAATCCCAACAAATAAAGGAAACACTAAAGTTCAAAGTGCAAACATTATCATAATGGCAGCAAATTTATATAATTTATCGCAACTTCATATATAATTATTTCAAATAAAATCTATTTTCATGTTTATTAATGTAATTGCAATATTATAAATTTTGTAACATAATCATAAATAACAATAATATTTCAATTCGTTCACGATACTTTTAAAATAAATGGCTTATACCTAAATGGAAATTAATTCACAATAATTTTATATTAATCCAATTTTCCATTGCCTATCTTGCCGATATTACCTCACTGTTCTTTGCTTTGATTCCATTGGTTCCGTTGATTCTGTTGCTTGCGGCTTTGACACAGTTGTGGTTTCAATCGGTTTAGTCGACGAAAACAAACCGGCAAACCACCCTTGACCATTTGAGTTTGACGCGCTACTGCAACACGGCCCAAATTTTCATTTTATTTTGATAAAACATATAAAACGAGGAAAGCAAACGGTTGTCTTTATAATTCATAAAGATATAACTTATAAAAAGATAACGAAAGCGCGTTACTCTCTAAATATGTATATCAATTGCAAAATTTGACGTGTCGCGCTCATTGTCGCAAATAAAAAAGTGGGCCGTGTAAACAGTTAAAGGTAATATAAAAAACTAAAACGCAATATAGTGTAACATGGGTGCATTCATATATACACACACATACATATATTTCAGTGTATATATTTTTGACTGGTGAATTTGAATCGATCCGAGATTGATTGAGTAAAGTTGATTGAGTAAAGTTGATTAAAGACCGTAAATGATCTCATTCAATCAAAAACCAAAATAAACCATATGACTTTAATCAACTATGAATTCAAAACCATCGCAGTTGAAAACGCTATCAGTTTATTTTGATACTTACACTACGTTTCGGATGCCATTGAGCGCCGTGTGGAACCTAGGTTGCACGTAAGACCATGCGCCTTGGTTCTTAGGTTCTTCCTGAGCCCAGATCAACTCCGCATTCGGATACTTAGCAGCCTCTATCTTGACAAGGTCATACGGGAAAGGCGAGATCTACAGCAGAATCGATTAAAATATTGACATGCATTAAATACAATATTTCAAATTTATAATTAATTAATTAATTTATTTATTTATTTCAAATTTATATTAATTATGTAATTAAATGAAATTTAATCAAATATGATTGACAACTGACATTCTAAAAATAACAACTGACCTGTTCCACTCTCGCAATCGCGACTTTGTCTTCTAAGTTCCGTTCTGTGCGGGCTTTCTTCAGATCATAATAGACCTTTCCGGAGCAGAACAGCAATTTCTTGACGCAGTTGGGATTCTGAACCGCCGTACCTTCTTCAGGTATCACTCTGAGGAATTGTGTGTCCTCTAGCATCAAGTCGAAGTTAGACTTAGCCTCTGGATGACGGAGCAGCGACTTTGGTGTCATCAGGATCAATGGTTTCCTAAACGGTAATGCAATTTGGCGTCGGAGAATGTGGAAGTAATTCGCTGGTGTGCTGCAGTTGGCGACGATCCAATTACTATCGTGCAACTGACGAACAGCAAATTCCTCACTTTCCGGTGGAAAATAATCTGGATCATCAGCGGACATTTGAAGAAACCGTTCCAAACGAGCACTAGAATGTTCGGGACCCTACGAAAAAAAGAAAGAGAATGCGAATTTGAAGCCAATAAATAAATTATATTATTGCAAACGATTGACGTGTCAGATTGATTTATATGTATGCTTCGGTTATATAAGATTAGAGAATTGAACGTTGTGTAAGTCAATATAAAGTTATAAATGTGAATGGTAATCAGTTTCCATGTCACATTTCAAAAAGTACATTATATACATCGTAAAATAATTTTATGATTTTGTGGATTTACCATTCCTTCAAGACCGTGCGGTTGTAACATAACAAGACCGGATTGTCTAACCCACTTGGCTTGACCGCTGCTGATGAACTGATCAATTATACATTGCGCCGTATTGTTAAAGTCTCCGAATTGAGCTTCCCAGCATACCAACGCATTAGGATTCGTCATAGAATAACCCAGCTCAAATCCTATAATTACAATAAAATTATTTTAATATGAAAAATTATAAAGCCCTTAATACATATAGTACATTTCAAAATACAGTATTAAAAATTTATAATTCATATTATAAATGCTGTAAATTTTTAGTGCAGTTACTACATTGAGAATGTATTATAATTATATCAGAATTGTAAAAACTATAATCTTACCGAGAACGCCAAATTCGGACAAAGAACTGTTGCACACTGTATAAGGTGCCTGATCAGGATATAAATAACAGAGTGGCCTATAAGTTGCCTTATCTACAGTCTGATGATGCAATACATGATGCCTGTGAGAGAACGTGCCTCTCTCCACGTCCTGACCTGACAAACGAACGTGAATACCTTCCTTGAGAAGAGATCCGAAAGCCATAGCTTCGCCAAGAGCCCAGTCGACAGTTCTAGCCTCAATCATCTCCATACGAGATTTCAAAATACGCTCGATACCTGTAATAAAATAGTTGCCGTGTTTTTCCTAACTCTATTCTATAAATTATATATTGCTACATGAATTACTATATAAATTTTTTAGATATATTTTTATAAGTTTGTAATTTTAATTTTTTATTATGTTTTATTTCGGGCTTTTTTAAATCTTTAATATATCTTTTTATTAGAAAAAAATATTACCACATTCATCTTTCAACGCTGCTCTACTCACCTTTGTGGATAACAAATTCAGCAGCATTCGGTGGCGGCGATGAGAATTTCTTTCCAATATGTATAAGCGTGTCTTCCTTGATGCCAGTAGGCGAAACCTTCAACGGGTCTTTTCCTTCAAAGAAACCTGACCATGGTGAATCTAACCAATCTTTGTACTTAATATGTGTTTCCTGCCTAGCATTGTTATATGCTTCTTCGCAGATCTTTTCGTACTTGGCTTTGACATCCTATAAAGGATAATCGCTTTTATATTGTAAAAGTAATTATATAAAATATTTGCTATAAAATGAAAGCTTTATACGGTTAGAGCTGCATGTTTATTTCTTAGTTGTATATTCACGTAACAGTCTTAAAGACACTATTTAATATAAAATATATTGTGTGCGCGCGCGCGCATGTGTGTGTATATGTGTGTGTGTGTGTGTGTGAGACTGATTGACTGACTGATTTCGTACCTCAACTTCCGCAGGAGTTACGACAGTACTCTCGGTGAGCGAGTTGGCATATTTGTCAAGGGCTGACAAAGTATTCTTGATCTTACGATACATCAGAGGCTGAGTGAACATCGGTTCGTCAATCTCGTTGTGGCCATTGCGCCTGTAGGAGACCAAATCGATCACAACGTCCTTGTGGAAGGTAGCCCTCCATTCTGCCGCAACTTTACACACATGCATTACGGCTTCGGGATCGTCAGAATTTACATGGAAGATGGGTGCGTTCACTACTCGGGCCACATCTAATAAAGAAATTCGTGATAATTACTGCTATTAGAGAAAAAACATAAATTAGTTTTTGACCCGTTCGTTTTTGACAGTAAATACCAACCAGTGCAATACGGCGACGATCGTGAATGCCTCGGATCGGTGGTAAAACCGATCTGATTATTCACAACAATATGAATAGTGCCGTGAGTTGTGTAATCAGGCAGGTCAGATAGATGCATTGTTTCGAAGACAATACCTTGACCGCAGAACGCAGCATCTCCATGAAGAAGAATGGACATGACCTACAGACAGATAAAATTATATTCACCAAAATTAATTTATATTTATAAACACAATCAAGATCGTATAGCTGCACTATATGGGTATCCAATAATCAATAATATTTAATTATTTTAATAATTATTCAATCTCATAACTTAAATATTTTAAAAGTCGTTTTTCTTTATTTAGTATTTGCTCATTGCCACCTAATTACAAAAAGTATTCAAGGTATAATTTTATTTATACATATTGCTTACTTTTTTGCCTTCGCCATCGCCACGGTAGAATTGCTCGGCGCGTGTTTTGCCTTGAACCACCGGATCTACGGCCTCCAAGTGCGATGGATTTGCAACCACGGCCAGACGAATGTTCTTGTTCGTCACTCGATTAAGACGTTCTATGTAAGTGCCCAAATGATATTTCACATCGCCAGAACCCTGGAATCATTTTATCGTTACCAAGAATCTCGGATCGACAAACGCTAGCCATGATAGCAAAATACACTTTCTATAAATAAAAACACAATTCGTTTTATGCTTACATCATCAGCGGCTTCGAGAGCAGCAAATTGTGTAAAAATTTGACTCAATGGCTTACGACAGACATTAGCGAGAACATTGAGACGACCACGGTGAGGCATACCCATGACAATCGACTCGACTCCCAATTCTGTGGATTTATCAATCACTTGCTTCATAGCTGGAATTAAAATTTCGCAACCCTCCAAACCGAATCTCTTCTCCGAGGACCATTTGCGTGCCAAGAATGCCTCGAATCTGTGATTTAGACACTTGCTAGTTATGTCTCTTAGACAAATATGTGAGAAACTAAATTCCATATTTTCACATATCGATTTAGCATAATTTTTCTTTAAGAAGGTATTTTAGAAAAAATTCCATTTAAATATAAATTATGACAAAAAAGATTATAAAATATAAAAAAATACAAATAAGAACTAAATACTTTGGTTTTCCTAAAAATTGTCAACTTCAAAGCTAGCACTATTTTTGAAATTTATTTAATTAGCGCCGATGTTATTACCCGGTTGCACGTGTCAATCTGGCTAAAATAAGTCTCTTCTCGTCATTCGTCATTTCCATGATTCCGGGTGTTTCCATCTTTTGCCTGATCCAATTACATTGCTCCAAGGAGTTAATGAACATGAACTCAACACCGATGTGACCGCAGTAAGCCGCTTCGAGCCGTTTCAAGATCTCACGCAACGGCAATGATTTCTCCTTGCCGCCAATAAATGTGGTGGATGGCAATTTAAAAACACGATCCATATCCGACTCCTCTGTATTAAGCAATTGAAATAAAAAATACATGCGTTTTACAAATTAGCACTCATAATAAAAAATTACAATTCTTATATACTTATACAGTCAGATGTTTAAATACATCGCGCGTTTATATTCATTTAATATCAAATAATTCATTTAGAATATATATATAAACAAAATGTAATTGTATAGATTCAACTGTACTGAAATATACTTTTTTTAATTTGTTCTGTTTAAAACTGATACTGAAAATGTGTTTTTAAAACTTTATTTTCAATAGTAATTACTTTCTTGTAATAAAAAACGAATAATTATTTTTAATTTAAAAATTATTTAATATACATCGCATATATATAAATATTTCTTTAATAGACACAATATTTACATACTGCAAAATATCTGCTGAAACGAACATGCAGTATATTTTGGAAGATATGTAAGGATATTGATGGTCACAACATATCACTATACGCACGACAGTGCAAACAAATACGAAACTGAAAGAAAAACAAAGTTCTTTGATGCAAAAGAAAAGCTGTGAGCTTAAGTAAAGCATCGTTAGTTCAAACAACAACCACCATTGAGTCAACCATTTGAAAATGTTTCAAACAAACTAAAAAGATGTAATAAAAAATATATAGCAAAAAAGGCAATGTAAATATGGTAAGAAGAACACAACATAGATAAAAAGAAAAATATATATATTAGAAAAATTTCAGAGATAATATATGCAACACTTTGATTTAACAAAGAGGAGAGAAGATAGAGAAAGTAAGAGGAACAAAATTACGGTTTTTTTTTAAGTTTTACATCCGTATTCATAATCCATCTATATTAAGATATTCGTAACATCAATACGCAAATGTCCCTCCTCTAATTCCTGTACGGAAGACGTTTGAAAACTAACTGTTGTCTGCGAATATCTTTATATAGTCGAGATACAAGTTTACGCAGAAGAACCCAAGCACCTGTATACAGGCTTTCGGCCGAAAATTATCCTGATTCAGTGTAAACCCAAGATAAACCAGTGCCTCCCAATATGCTAGCATAAATAAAAGAGCTTTACGGGAAAATCCCGTTTTGGGTGGCGACTACATACTTTGCATTAGGACAGCTACTCGGTATTGAAGTTGCTGCGAGAAAGTAGTGCGTGGTCTCTTCCCTGTGGACATTAGACTCAAACTCAACGATCAAAATTAATCCCAAGGATTCAGGATTCTTTACCTGCTGCATTCAGCTCATACTTACTCGTATAAAACGAGAAATTTAATAAATTAACCGATAAATCTAAATCTCTGATTATATAAATATTAAATTAAATATACGTTGCCCACTACCTTTTAATAATATTTTCTTTGGTACCACTAATACTAAATCAACAATTTGCTCACAAATAAAGAAAATAAAAAGTAAATATAGTTATGAAAAAATGCTATACTAAAAGAATTATAAGCGATAAACTAATACTAACATGGTGAATTAATAATGCGAAAAAAAAAACTTTATATTATGTTTATATTTGTATAAGCTAAAAAAGAGAGAGAATGAAATATTTACTCATCCATATTTGAATTAAACACAAGAGAGAAGAAATTAAATACAGTTTTATACAATAGCAGCCTGTAAATAAATTTTATAGAGAAAATTAATAGACAAAAACGTACTCGAAGACATATAACCGCGATTATTACATCATTATCGTTTAGTATTCGATAGTAAATCGATTACTAGTTTTCAAATGCACTGATGATGCATTTTTTTTTGTTCGAGAGTAGTTTTACTCTTTTCTATTTACGCAGAAACACGTTCAATTAAGCTTACCGAATGAATAATGGGTATAGAGCAATTCTTGCGGATGTCTATCATCAAGATCAGCGCTGTTGATTCCGAGTGGATCCAATTTAGCGATATGATGGCCACGAATCTGTCAATTTAATGCCACATTCATGCGAACCAAATCATTTTCAAATTCTCATTTGATTTAAGTAATTTATATTTAATCAAAATATAAATTACTGTGCTTGATGTTCTACTCAAAGAATGTGCATCATGACATAGATAATACATGATATTCGATGCAAGCTATCATCATGCTCTTCAAGAAAACATCATCACAGTAATTAACATTAAATACGCACAACATACGAAACTAATATCTTAACGTTTGTAAATGTTATCTGCTCCTTAGCTTCCCTATTATTAATGCGTTATATTTATTTAATTATGCGTTATATTTAATTAAAGATATAATAATAATAAGTGCTGCTCAAACATCCCCTTATTGATCGCAACTCACACTCAAGAAAAAATAATCGCGTGCAGTATGTTAGTGTATACAAATTTTATAAAGACAAGCATACTAGTCGAAAAATGTGTGCAGGTATCCATATAAAAGCAATACATATACAAATCATACATGCAAAAAATCAACATAAATTCCTTTATTCTTACCTCCAATGTTTTACTCGTATATTATTGGGCAATGTACATATATATTTATTTATTTTTACTTTCTGCCAAATATAAACGCAATAAATGCATTATGATAAATGTCATACTCGACAATGTCTGCGCATGTATATGAATATTCGAATTACGAAATTCGCTTAGATAATTGATCATTATGAAAAGATGAGACGTATTCATTTTTGTGATTCCTAAAATGAGTATGTTTTTCCAAACATTTTCAGTATCAGTATGCCACAATACAAGGCTCGCCTTCTCTTTTGCAATACCTAATTATATAAAATACCTTTTGCAATATTTAGGTTTGTATAATTCTTTTCAATTACTAGGAATAAATTATTTATAAGGTATTTTCAATAAAAAACAAAAAAACTTAAAAAATATAATTTCCAAAAATATCAAAAAAATAATAATTGATTATTTCTTATTTTACTTTAGATATTTCCTCAACATAATTTTGAAATACGTTCCATACGTTGTAGAGAAAATCATTAAGATAAAATTGCGTCACCTAAATGTATCAAAATTACAAATAATTTTTGTACTTATTTTCTAAAAAAACTCTTGAAATTTTATTTAAAGTAGAAAAATTCTATTTTATGGTCCTTAGAATTTTATCTAAAATTAAAAAATTCTTTCAGCTACGCAAAAGTAAGATTAATATGCAAAGATGATTACATGAAATGATAATACTGAATGTATTATGAATAAAATTACAGTAAACATCAGCCGAATAATTTACGGCTCTATGTATGCATTTTATACAATACATACTCCAAACCAAGTACAATGCGATCCTCATATACGTATGGCACGTATGGCAAGAAAACGCGTCTTTAAAACAAAAGCCCGCGGAAAATGCTTAGGAAGAAAAATCTTACCAAGCATATACTGTCGCAACACTTGTTCTGGAGATCCTTTGCGAGCTGCATAATGAGTGTGTATCAGGTCTGTTTGCATAATACCCAGCGGATCCAGATCAGCAACTAAGTGACCTCGAGCCTATACGCCAATAATCCCGAAAAAAACCTCACATTTATATAAACTGTGTCTATTCTCACAACTACACTCTACACATAGTTACAATATAGAAAAAAAAGAAAAAAATATAGCGGCTATATACAGCAAAATTAGCAAACAAATATCCCAATTATATTTACTTATAGCATACACTAAGATAACACATATTATTGATATTTATTGCAACAATGTTTGTAAAGGAATGGATTTTGTTTTTCATTTATCTCATGGTTATAATTTTACTATAGTAAAAAAAATAGAGTCATTGTGCTATAACAAATATAATTATTATAGTTTTAATAAAACGATTAAAAATAGTGTGCTGCTGCTTTTTTCTTGACAGATCTAGTATCTATGTATTGAGAAGAAAAAGATCAGAACATAAAAAATTATAATTTAAAAAATTCCATTATTTTTGTTGGAAAAAATATAAAGATGCAAGACATGCTTGAAATAGAAGATGCAGTGAGCCACTAGTATAGTCATACAAAAAATGAGGCTATTATGCAATATTCATATTTGCTATTTATATTCAATACACTTATCATGTGTTAATACTTGGGACAAACATAATGTCAGAAAATTTGGAAAACACACATGATAGCCCATTAACATTAAGCAAAAATACAATAAAAAAACATTCCACGTCCCAAACTCGTATAGACATATTCGCGCAAAGTACACATAAATATAAATTCTAACACATACATGTTATCTTGACCAAAAGATATTCTATCTTCTCTGTTCCATGAAAATGAAATTGGGACACAAAAGATACTAAAATATTTCGTTCAATGTATCTACATATACGTATGGATGTAAATTTCATTGAACGAAACGCTGTATAAATGCATGCCATAGCAATTTCCGTAATATATGAATACATTTTAAAATATAATAAGAAATAGCTTTCGTTTTGATAATGGCAAAGCTGAGAATTCGTAAAATTTTTGTCGCATTAAAATTTTTTATTATCAATCAACTACAAATATCAATGGCCGGTATTTATAGTTGTGTAGTTTTTCAAGACTATCTTAAGTGCATTCCTAAAATGTTATAAACTATAAACCAATTATTAATGTCCATTTCTACTAATATAGATTAGCATCTTAAAATATTAACATTTCAAGATATTATTTAAGACGTTTATAGTATTTAGGATCTTATATCTTTAATATATTGCTGTTATATATAGTCTTATTCATGCAGCTTTTAATGGACCAATTTAGTATGATTCAAAAGCAGATTTCTCCAGGTTCCCATTTAATTTATTAAATGTTATATAATAATAAAAGAATATTACTATTTTACATTACAACATTATTATTTATAGATAATAGAGATAGGAGCAGAAATTTATTAAAAAATAGTATTTTTATTATAATTAATGTATAATAACCAATATTAAAAAGCAATTTTTAATATAATTATCATTTAAATTATACACGGCTGAATAAAATAATCTTGCAAACAAAAATAATACAAGTAGTAATGATTACGTGAATTATCAATCACTCTTATATATTGTAAACTTACACACGATAAATTATCATGTCTAAAATATGTTGCAAGAGTACTTGTTTGCAAGAGTAGCACACCTATATTCATTACCGGGAGTAAAGTAAACAAAATATTATACCTGATAAGAACGAATGATAGCTTGCACCGCTAGATGATCGTCAATAATTTTTTCATTGACAGGCGCCTGGCCGAGTTGTGTTCCGCCACTCAGGGGCAACAACGCACTGAGTGGTACTTGATTGTAACTTGGAGCGAGGCATGGTGGTGCCTGATATGCGAATCCTGGGGCAGCTCCAGCGGTGCTGTTTCGAAAGAAGGAATCCCATGACTACAAATAAACAAGAACAAAATAAATTAAGCAAAATCTTTCCATCTATAAATATAAACCAACAACACAATTAAATAGCTTTTACAAAAGAAAACAAAAATAATAAATCACAATTAAATAGCTTTTACAAAAGAAAACAAAAATAATAAATAGACACTCTTTTTATCTTTCGTCGAGTTTTAATTAATTTCTCCTATGATAAAAAAATTGATTTGAATTTGTGCAAAGATGCATTTCAATTTACTTACCACGTGCACACTGTTTGGATCTTGCAGCCACGCGTTGTACATCTCTTCCACGTAAGAGCTGGTGCTGCCATTCAAGAAGGGCTCGGTTGCTACTCGGCTATTGTATTTGCGCGCGGGCTCCGTGAAAATCAACTGGCTGGTCCTAGTCAATGGATGACTACGGACCACCCAGGATGCGTATCTTTCGGGCCCGCATATGCGCGGCGCCAAAGGGGCCAGCGTACTGAATACTGTCCTTGCCTTATACATTTTCACCTGGAACATGACATGATAGGTCATTAGGTGCCTTATCTTGCTTCATATCGTCGATATCGAAGAGATGTAAATAAGCTAATGAAATTGCGCAAACATAGTTACCGATAAGGCATACTCAAATTTTATGCGTCATTTAAATATCTGAAGTGATTAAACGGATATGCGCTGTCTCAAGACCGCAATTGCAATTAAATTAAACAAAGATTCAAATGCTATGCCCGATCATGAGGCATAAATGAAAATATAAACTTTGATAAGCGTAGTAGCAACGTATGTTAAACAAATCTTACACGTACAATCACAATCTGGCTTTATCTACTATAGTCTGTCGTCTTATCATTGTTCTTATTGCATCATTGAAATTCTAGACTTTGCCTGCATGTCATCCATTGATTACTAAGAATTGCGGAGAATATCAAAGGCGCATTTTGCAATTGTGTAAGCATGATTGGTACATTTAGCTGTTCTCATATGTTGCAATATATATGTATATGCGCGCTTGTTTGTACACAGGTTAAATAAAACCTAAGTTGATATATGTACAGACGTAGTATTCGTTATACTGTATCTTAGCATAATTGCGTCATTAGAGGTAATACGTCAAATTTGAAATACAATTAATATTCATGAAAGTAATTCAATAAAATGTAACTTTACAATAAAATATAACTATTGTACAATTTCCCGGAACTTCAATAAAAGATTATTATATAAAATTTCAGAAAATATATTTATCATTAAGACATACAAATAATTGATAGTCATAATAAATAATGCAAATAAAATAAAATTTAGCTCTCGAGACACCTAATAAGTATAATTATATATTACTGTCAGGCGATTAGGAGCAGAATTGTGACGCAGTTATTCGAGCGTTATATATAAAATTGTATTTAATAGACCTTACATGTATTTATACAAAATCGAACGTTTAAGCTCAGTTCGAGCCATTTTCAGCGATGTTCAAGTAACAAATTCAACATTAGCAATTATTCAATCGTTCGAAACGTGGATTCGATTCGATTTTGTATAAATACATATAAAGTCTATGAAATACAATTTCATAATAAATAAATGTATTACAAACGCGCTCAGAGGAGTTTAAAATTTCGAGGAACTGAACTTTTTGTTTTTTATATATTCTAACAGTGTGACCTTAAGAATATTTTCCTGTTTGCTTTTTTAAGAAATCCACAAAAGAGCTCAGAAGAAATAAAAAAGTAGAAGAGAACAATGAAAATACAAGGGACCCTCATCGGAATCCCCTGTATTTCTATTAGTCTCTATGAAGCTATGCTCGACCCTAAAGAAAGGAACGGTTAACAAAATTCGACACACAGTATATTTATTATCATAACCATTGAGATGTTACTGTTCTATTTCTAAGAATTGGCTAGTTTCCAAATTGCATAACAATGTTCGAAAAAAAATGCTGTGGCAATGAGGCTCTCCACAGCAAAACATTGTGCCATTTTCTAATAAAAAAAAAAATTTATTCTTTTAAAAACAATTATTTGAAAAATTTTATTAAAAAATACTGTAATAACTAAAGATATAATCAATCAATCTCTGCAAAATTTCAGTTAATTCTAGTTTTTTAAAAATTAGGTTGAAGTTGTTAAAATTTTAAAACGTTATAAGTTCAAGTAAAAATACCAATTGTACAATTTATGACGCTTTGAGTTGCACTATCCACTTTTTCTCCACTTGTAACAGCACTTTTCACGCTAAATATTAATGTGTCGTAAAACAGAATTTACAACCCATTCATATAATAAAACACATTCGTATAATTTTGACATTTATCGTACACTTTGACATTTTTCGTAACACACCTCAAATGTTTTGGAGAGAAAATTACAATAAATTAAAAAATATTATTACATATTTCCTGTACACTTCTGTATAAATATAAAATTGCTTACGTCAATAGATTCCCACGACAATACATTTGTACTGATGCGCAAAATGTTATCTAAAGTACTTCCTTTAAAAAGTAGAGTAAAGATTAGAAAGCATAGTACACAAGTAAATCCAAAGTTTGCATTATCAATACTTCACGGAGTTCCAGATAAGCTTTGATAAATGTCATTGAATCTGCCAGAAACGCAATAAGTCTAACAATGAGTTAGAATATTGCTTTTTCTTAACATAATAAAAAAGTGTTTCTTCTAAAAAAAGAATCTTATCATTGTTTCAAGCCAGATAGTCAAATTTTAATTAAAATAGTTATATATTTATGGAATATTTACTAACAAAAGTTAATATGTGTCCATAAAAATATTTGTGGACACATATTAACTCGAAACCTTGAGAGCTTTTAACGTATAAAAGTAATTACGACTAGAATATTTCTCAATAATCATAAAATAGCAAATATTATCTATTATTTATTTAACAGCAAAATCTCTAATTAGATCCTGCTTATCAATTATGCAGATAATTCACTTAGAGAGTCGGAACATCTGGCGTCACGTACGGTGCCCCTCTTTTTTTGAAGATTAGATTACAAGATAAAGACTATCTAGACAAGAGTAACGAGAAAAAAAGTAGAAAAAATTCGCAGATTAATTTTACTTCCTTTCACTTTAATAGCAAATAAAATCAGACAGTAAACTTAAGCAACGAAGGCGAGGCCATCGAGTATCATTTTTTCTCCACAGTTGTATCCTTATAGGACTTGCCGCGTTTACCTTCAGCAGTCCTATTCGTCTTCTTTTATTTCGACGCTCAAAATATAAAACGCGGAAAAAAGATATAATCGAGAAGAATAACTCAAAGTCCTATTGACACACGCGATAAGACTGTCTCGGAATCCGTTTCGAGGCGATTGCTGGCCTCGTTCAGGCACATGTGACTACCGGGAAAAACTGCGAGCTCTCCCCGTCTCTTTACATAGGAGAACCTCCACGAGATCGCAATGACTGGAGGTGGGGAATACCTGATTGTCGTTTGCGACACGTCAGAAATGCAGATGCGATCACGTCGGTCCTGAGAACGCGACCGCTCCGTTACTTAAATATATACATACCACGACAATCTTTGTACGTCTGGTATAATAAAAGCAAATTACATATAGTTATTAGTAAGTTTACCGAACAATTTATACGATAAGGACAAGACGATTAACAT